GTGAAGGAATCGCTCGATCGGGTTCAGTTAACAGCCATCGACCGATCGCTCGGGTTCAGTAACGCGTAGCTTGCAGTGCAATCGCTCTGGTTCAGTTACAACCCAACGCCTCGCTCGGGTTCAGTTAGAGTCAACGCCTCGCACACACGCGCATACGTGTATGAGAGAAACGCGCATCGCTCGGCCCCCGACCGCCCACCGTAACCGGGAACTCCCCGAAATTTTCCTCCCCCTCGCTTCTATCATGATTTTTTTTGTCATGGACGGTCCAAAGAATGTCATGCAGCTGCGTCTCCGGCCCGCCCAGGATGAAAAGCCCATTTTCTGTCATGATTTTTTGTCATAGAAGTAGGAGCCCACCATATCTATGATGATACCGGGTTTTGTCACAATTATCATCATAGAAGTGTCATATGTATGACAGAAATTTTTTTCGTTCGGCCGAAAATGTCACGGATATGTCTTTTTTGTAATGGAGAGTCCCATCCGGACACGGGTGAGAGTCTTCGGTCTTGTATCTTCGTAGCCCATCAGTCTAGCCCATGTCCAACAGGTTGGACGCCCGAGGACCCCTTAGTCCAGGACTCCCTCATCTGCGCCGCCGCCGCTTCCCTCTCTCGCTGTCGGCATCGCTGCATCCTCCGCGTGATGTTCTCAGGCTTGCACGATGAAGCCAAGGACAGGACACCGATGGACGAGGTGGACGTAGTCTCCATCGCGCCGGTCGGGGAGGGGCTGGACGAGGTGGACGTAGTCCGCATTGAAGTAGCCTAAACATCTATTCACCTGGTCACGACTATTTAAGCACAACACCAACGTTGTTCTCGTCCAGAACACACTCTCCACTCCACATCTCTGCGCCTCCGCCACTCCCCTCTTCCTTCACTCACTGGCAATGGGCAAGTTCTGGGCCTCGGCGCCGGCAAGCATGTCAAGATCGTGGCGCCACCGACCTTGCTCTTCGGGGCCATCTTGCCCCATGGCAGCCGACTCCTCCATGAAGGAAGAGATCGTCATCTCCTTCGACGACGAGGGGTACCAGCCGCCATTGTAAACGCCCGTCCTCCTCCAACGAGGAGAGCCACTTTAATAATTCATTAAGACTTTCAAAATTAAAGACATTTAATTTTTTTTCTACAAACATTTTATGAAAACACAAAAAACCTTTGAAATCCAATGACATTTTATCAATACATGATTTTTTTGTTAATACACGAACATATTTTTAATTCAATGTCTTTTTTAAAATTCAAGAACATTTTCATTTTCAGGTGAAAAGTATGGTTCGTGAACATTTTTTGCAATCCAGGGTATTTTTAAGCACATTATTTTTTTCCAAATATGTGAATAGTTTTTCAAAACTCGATCATTTTTTTAGTCCGAGAATTTATTTTTAATTCATGATTTTAAATAATTCCTGGACATTTTTTAAATGTTGCGATTATGTATCTTTCTAAATCCATACAAAAGATCAAACAATCATTTTTCTTGGAGAAAACTAATAGGAAAGAACAGACCTATCGAATTGGGCTGAAAACCAAATCGCTAGTTATGTGCGTCAACTAGAGTGGCTTCGCTGAACGAAGCTATTTTTTTGTATTTTCCAATTCTGTCTTTTAATCTATTTTTCACCCCCAAAAACCTGTGTTGTTTTAAATATCTTTTGAGAAGTGGATAAAATTAGAAAAATCAAACATTAAAAAAAACCGTATTACTTCCAAAAATGTGTTTTTAAAAATTGTGAACAAATTTTGGATTCTGAAGAATTTTGTGAATAGTGAACATATCTTGAAAATCAAGCAAAATTTGAAAAAGGTGAAAGGTTTTTGGAAACATGAATTATTTTTAAAAAATATGAACATGTTTTAGTATTACTAACAAATTTCGAATTCCCAATAAATTTTTATGAATTGTGAATAAATTTTTTGAAAGCAATTTTTCGAAAAGAGATTTTTTTTGATAACATGAACATTTCTTTTAGAAAATGCGAACATTTTTTAAAATTTCAAAAGAAAATTGAAAAAGTACTTTTAAAAAATACTGACCAGAATTTGGAATTTCAACCATTTTTGTAAAAAATAAAAAGGAATTCTAATCATTTTTAAAAAAAATTGTGCACCGTTTGTTGAAAAAAATTCTTACCATTTTTTAGTGAATGAAAAAACCAAACAAACGAAAAACCAGAAAAACATGAAAGAACCAGAAAATAAAAAAAACAAGAGAAAAAACGGACGAAAAATGAAGGAGCGAACGGACAGCACTCTGGGCCGCGAACTGGGCCAGCCCACCCACGGGCCCTGCGGTCGAAGATACCTCTGTTTGCTCCCCGCGGGCGGCAAATAGGATCTGCCCCTCTCCCTTCCCCAGTGGCACGAGATTCGACGAGACGCATAATTAGAGTTCCAAATGGGCATTAGATTAACATGGCACATGGAGAGTGGACGTAAACAAGGAACTTGATTTTAGGGATCATTTTTGATGCATCACATGACAATGTATCTTCAATGAAATGAAAGCACACAAGCCGGCGATACAATGACGGATGATCTAACAGCACAGCTCGCACACCGGTCATTTCAGTCTCAGTCAGTCAGAGAAGAAGGCCATCCAAGCACTCCTCCACCGTGAGGAACTGTACGTCCGGGTACAGCCGCGTCGCCTCCACGTCAACAGCCGGGTCGACCGCGCGCTCACACGCCCCGGCGTGCACCAGCGTCGAGTGCACCATCGCCAGCTGAAAGTTGAGAGGGAATGGAGCCTCTGCATTCGGAGGCCCCGCGGAGGCGATCAGTTCGATTGAGGTTGACGATTTCATCTGTAACTAGCTAGCATGTATGGATGGATAGATCGGCGGCTACCTTGGATTTTCTTGGCGAGCTCCTGTTCGGTGATGTAGTGCCTCTCGAACGTCCTGCCGGTTTTCTTCTCCAGGAGATGGAGGAGCTGGCCGAAGGAGCGCATGTTGGCGGGAGGGCGCACGTGCAGGATCTTGTCAAGCGTTCGTGGGTCCTCCACGGCTCTTATGGTCAGCATGCTCATATCCTTCTCGTCTACAAAGATGGCTGAAAAAGTAGTGCCCAACTCAGAAATTACATCTAGATGATACAGAGGAGAAGGGGCATTAAAAGTGAAATAGTAAATGCTTACCTCGTGATTTTTCGTCACCAAAGATGTCCACCGCCGTCGACAGAGGGCCATTTTCTCCGGAGTTGCCGAGTGTAGAAAACAGCAAGCCAATAGCCCAGTAGCTGCAGATGATGGTATGAGGAATCCCTACGTCTGTGATGGCTCGCCGAACTCGAAGCTTGGATTCTACTATCATGCTCTTTGCTGGCTCCAGGGTGCGCTCGGCATGATGCTCCACGTCACACCCGAATTCAGATGGCACAAAACGCTGCAGTATTTTGTCGGTTCAGACTTCCATCGAAGAAGTAAATTAACCAAATCCTCAAAGCAGGCTTTTTTCCTGCTTTATATATAAAGCCACACAGCCAAACGAATAAAATGTGACGCCGAAACCCTATTACAAAGCTAGTTGGATACATGCTTAATACTCCCTCCGTTCTTAAATATTTGTCTTTCTAGATATTTCAACAAATGACTACATATGAAACAAAATGAGTGAACTTACACTCTAAAATATATCTATATACATTCATATAATACCGTAGAATGATTGTTCTATGGTTTCGGCTCAAAAAAATATATACATTCATATGTGATGGTTCATTTGATATTTCTAAAAAGACAAATATTTAGAAACGGAAGGAGTAGTACATGAGTAGCCAGGTCTCGCTAAGAAAATCCTAAGATTACGGATTAAGAAGTAAATCACGTCCCCCGGGAAAACCATCGGACATCATTGCATCGCGCATCCCAACCAAAAAGGATGTGAGACGGCAAGTAAAAAAACTTCATGAATTTTAGCAAGTTTCAGTTGCAAGGTGACAATTCTCTTGCTAAAAAAACGATCAGATCTTAGTTTTGAAAAGTTGTTTAATATTCTATCAACAAAATGTAACAGTAGTACAAAGATCTCCATAAGTAAAATATATAAAACTAGGTTCATTGGTCACCTAGCAAGGACTACGAGCATTGGAGCAAGCCCAAGATGTGTTACCATCATCGTCTGTCGCTTACAGCAGCTGCACAAAATCTTGTTATAGTTCGCAGCCGGGAAATCATCATGCTAAGGTCCTAAAGGACCAACACACCAAAACAACAATCATCATCGATGAAGAAAAACATGGATCAAAAGGACCATACCTGCAAACACACCGGCAACAAACAACCATAAACATCTCTTGAATCCAGACGAATCCGCCGGAGACTAGGGTCAACCTGATCTAAGTAGATTTGTCGGAGACCTATGCCAACTAGATCCAAACAGATCTGCCAGGAACACACCTACACGCGTCCTCCGCCGAAGCGGAAAACGTCCGGAGGATATTATTTTAACTCTAGGACATCATCACCACCTCACCGCCCGGATCATTACACTAAGGTTACCTAAAGAAAACATGGGGACCCTCCTATCGACGAGGGACTAGGGTCCACCGCACCTCCATGATCGATAGGGCCGCCGAGGGCGAGACAGATTGGCAGCAACTAGTTTGGTTTTCAATTAATTAAGTTGCAAGGGGGTTGACTCGATAAAAACCCTAATCATGTATGGATGGGGAGGAGGGGTGAAATTTCTTTGGTTATATCAGATCGCATCTAACTGGGTAGTTTGGGTTTAAATTAATTAAGTTATAATCTCGCAAACAAATTTTGCATGCCCCTCAAGCACAAATCCAATTACAACATCCCCCATTTACTCTTTTGTCATTGTATGTTTAGATGTATTTTTAAAAACATATTTTACTATTAAGCATGTATTTTGTTTGGGTGACATTTTCTTACATCATTTAAATGGAAGTTTTCACAAGCGATAATTTAAGAAATACATGCCTTATTTACCCTTGTAACACAAGACTCTCATTTCGATAAATTGTCAAGCATGTCACGCTCTGTGGCGACTAAATCAGAGGTGACCTGGGCATCACGTCACAAGAAATTATAACAGTTATACAATATTGACAAAAGCATATCCATCTCATGCTTACTCTATAATACTTTCTGAAAAAAGTCATAAAAGTATAATCAAAATTAAACATCATATTTATTTTTCCCATTGCTTTTGAAATTCCTAAGTTTAATTCCATTTGAGTTTATGACATTTAAAAATCTTAATTCAAAATCAAATATGATACCTTTTCTTTAGTAAAATATATTCTCTATTATAGACCGTGATTTTTGGATTTAATTTATACCAATCTCATCTGGTTTGTAAAATCTAGAAAACTCAATTTCCAAAAATATATTAAAGCTTTTATTATAGTCATAATACATGAAGGATAATGAAACTTACTTAAATGCAATTCATAAATTAAAATAGAAGATTTTGTCGTTCAACATATAAAATATAGCTTCACTATTTTTTCATAACATAAATGACCATAATTGAAGTTTTTGGGTGGGGATAATTGATATTACATTAGATAGTTAAAGGGGTGACGACGGCAGTGCGCCTTTGGCTCGCTCCAGTGTTTATAGTCGTCGTTAGGTGATCTACGGACCTTGATGTAGCTTTTACTTCCGGTGTATGTCGTAGTACCTTGATAGTAGATGAATAGATCGGAAGCGCCCTCCC